GCTAAAGGTTCGGTTTGAACCAAAAACGAGGAGGGCGAAAGAGGTTGGGAGACCTCTTTTGACCGCGGTTTTATATTTTTTACTGTAAGTAGTTGAAAGCGCATCCTGAATTCTGTTGTTACGTTGCAGGTCACGGAAGAAAAGGGAATCGGTTTGTTGTTCTTGTTGCGGAGAATGTATATACTCAGGTTCACCCTGTTTTATCTCTCTCTATTTTTCTTCTTTATGCCGTAACATTGGTGTATAAGTTCTGAAAAACTATGGACCTGTTGTTGACTGTTCTTGAGGGGGTTGACTTTGTCACCAATTCCGACCGGGTCCCAGGTAGAGTTTTTTAAGTTGTTTGTTGTTTTGTTGTCTTAAAACTTTTTTTAAACTTGTTCGTCAGGTACACTTGTCGAACGGAGAAACCTCTTTTAAAGAGAAAACACTAGCAATGGAGGCACCTACCTCCCACACGTTTACTGCAGAGCCCTGTTCGTCAGTTAGTCGTCAGAAGGGGTATGAACACTAAATCCAAAATGAACTTGTTCCGACTCACAAAAAGGTTCCGAGTCCTTTGGGAACGTCCAACAAAGCTCAATTAATCTGCTAAGTTCCACTTAAGCAACTTGGGGATGATCATATAGAAAAAGTACTATTAAGATTATAATCTCTATCCTATAAACTTTCAAAAGAATTCGCATTACCGCAGTTAGTCGTTATAATTTTATTATTTTCGCGAACCGTATAAAGTCAACTAACATCACTTAGGTCTTACATATGTAAAAAAAAAAAAAATTTAGACGGTAATGGTCTTTTATATTCTTGAAATAGTTTATAAGGATTAAAAGTGACTCTGGTCAGGACAATTGTTTAATAACTCTACTTGAAATACAATAACTGGTTAGAATAAAATGGTGGTATTTAACTTTATTTCAGAAATTTTTTAGTCTGTTACACTAAAAGACCTAAAAAAAAAGGGAGTAAAACGGGGAAGTATTTAACTCCATATGATCCTACTTTTAACGTTCCGGGAGAGAGGAAAATTTCACCCTCTTGAACGGTGTTCAACCCACGATGATTATTGAAAAAACGGCGTGACATAACCCCCCTACCCTCCTACCTACTTTCCACTAAATAAATTGATTTAGCCTAACTTTACTAACCGACCTTAAACTTTATACGACGTGTTTATAGTCTGAAAAAAAAATATTTATTTTACTTCAGTCCCTTGATTGCTTCGGGAGTGGGGTTGCTGTTTAAGTTCACCCAACGGAGACAAGAAGACTACTTCTTTTGTCTCGTCAGTTTGACACAAAAACGAAATTAGAGACAACTGGTTTATACACCTCTAATCCAAACTTATCTATATAGTTAATCCCTTCCTCACAAAATAGTTGGTCCTATGTGTTAAGGGATGTCAGTACAAACAGGACATCACAGATTTTTTCTCTAGTACGACAGGGGTGTTTTAGCAAACCAGGATAGGTTCACTGTTGATTCGGCTGGGTTTACTCGCAACCCCAAGTCCCCTTTAGTATGTTTCAGTAAAGACTTACGATAATACACCAGGCTCTTAATTTATATAAAAAACTAATTTGCTATGTGACATATTTTAACCAATTCGGGAAAATAGGTTTCGCTGAAGATGTATGAGTTATGACACCTTGTTAGAGGTGTCCCCGTTAAAACCCCACTGTCACCAGGGAAACGGGTCCCTGTGTGTGTGATGTACGCTGAACGGGTCACCCCATGGGACCCCTTGGAGGGTACCTTAAGCTTGTGGTTGGGTTGATCAGTGCGCGGTGGTGCGGAGGGTTTCTATTCTACTATAACAAGCCGGTACGTAGACATGTTTTTGTTATCATTAGCGGGAAACTGAGGCTTTTTTCTTATAGTGCACACTTCCCCGTTCTGGTGGTTTGATTTGGAATAGTTTGTGTTAGTTTTGATACCCAACGTGAAAAAACTTTTGTGTGTGTGTGTGTGTGGTAGTGTGTGGGTCGCAGTGGTTTGTGTGTTACAGGTGTCTTTTATACTGATAACGAGTTCAAACAGGTGCCATTAATACAGTTAACAAGTGGAGGACAGAGGGGGCTCTTAAAGAAGAAGTTACAGGTCTGTGAGAGCCAGAAATCTTGTTTGTTTGTAGGTGACCAAATACTTATTTTCCACCATAATTTGCAAATAATTTCTTTAAAAATCAGACAATGTGATTTTCCGGATTTTTTTTCCCCCTCATTTTGTCTCTCATAGTTGAGGTATACCTAGGATTACAGGCCTCTCTCATCTTTTTAAGTGGGAGAACTTGCACAATTGGTGGCTGACTAAATACTTTTTTGCCCCACTGTATATGCTGGATTTTTCTCACATGACCTTCATCATTGGCTGTAGTTTTATGGTAAAGCATTAAAAGACAGATATACTTGATAGTTATCGTGAGATGTTCAGTATTTTCTTTCAGTCCGTTGCTTGTGCCCTTGTGATGGTAAACAGAGAAGCAGCCAGCATGGCCACAACCCTAAATCCCTCCTCCCTATCCTTTAAGCAGCGAGTTGACCATCTGTTCCCTATAACTCGCTGCTCAAAACACACACATACATACAGACACACACATATATTAATCACAGTCAGTTAATACCTGCCATTGGCTCTGCGCGTATGGCTTCAGCTTAATTCAGTCAGTCAGTCTGGATGCATTGTTTGAGGTTAAAAGAGGTGATGAGTGTGTTTTTGTCTCACATGGGTGTGTGTCTATGTGTGAAAAGAGGAGAGGTCCTGTGCATGTGTTTGTGCGCATCATGGTAAAGTTGCTGAGGCGACACATGGCATGAGAGGTTGGATAAGGGGCGACAGGAAATGACCAGGGGTGCAGGAGCCCTTTGTACTCCACCAACTACGCTAGTCCCTGATCCATTTCCTGTTTTCACCTTTTCTTCTGCTGTGGTCCTGCAGCTCATCCAGTTTGGTAGCAGAAGAGGATAACTATTATTTTTCTTCTTAACGCATTCTGATATTCACAATATGTTTGTATAATAATGATGCCTGTAAAGTAAAAAGGGTTGTTAAAGCTATGGATAATTCAATACGACATATTTATAGAAAGTAGAGGTTGCAATGGGCTTCACTCTTTAACAGACTGTTTGGTAGATTCAGCTCATCCAGCTGTGATGTGTTGAGTCCATCACATTGAGCATTGATCTTCTAGTCAAATTCAGAAAGTAAATCACTCAAAGGGATGCCTGTGTTTCATTATTATAAAGAGATGTAGATAAAGGAAACAAAAACTAAGACGACTTCTTAAAGGCCTGGTGAAAGTAAAATTGCCTAATATTTTCTGGTTCCCAACTTCCCTCTTCTCAAATTGTCTTTGTACATGATGGTCACCGAGATATTTTTTGGACTGTTAAGCAGAAGATTTGAAGACACAACCTCAGCTGTGTATAAACAAAACAGGCGTTTTCACGATGTTCTGACATTTTATAGATGAAAATATAAAATGATTTCCCAGTTATCGACGTATGCAGCATCAGCAATTTAATTATTCTTTAAATAATCCGTTTGGAACAGAGGCTCAGAACAAAACAACTTTTAAAAAGAGGGAGGGATTCTTAAGACACACATTTAGCTCTTTACAGTATAGACCAGGAGGAAATGCCTCCAAAACAACGTCTTTCTTTGTTAGTGGAAACTTAAGTAACATAGTGTGTTGCCATTACCTACCTAGTAGCTACCTTCATGAAAAGGACAGCCAATAGCCACAAGTTAATGCCCATTCTTTGACAATCAGGAGTTGGCGTAGAATTTGAAGAGGCGAGTTGATAGAACCCCTTTCTGTCAACTTGTCGTTCAACATAAAGACAAATGACAGCGTGACACACAACAACTCCTGGAATTCATTGAACATTTCATACTGATGACACACACTACTGCAATGCCATCAGGGTTAGAGATGATGAATACATCAGCTATAGCAACGCAGGCTTCATCTGTGGTTGACAGACTCGTTTTGGTTTGAATGAACACCAGCCCCTTTTTATAGATCTGCCTCATCAGGGCATCAAATGTGACACAAATCATTATTCCCTCAAAGCAACATTGAGCTTCATTCAATGATAGCCTTACAGAGCCTGCTTAATGTTCCACATAGTCAACGGCCCACCTGCAGTCCTCCACTGTGGCTTTTTGGGTTAAAGGCTTATTTTTGGGCGTTCTTAGACGCTGTGCATATGGCCCTAACCTCCACTTTGATTATATCCAATGCTGAATATAACAGTTATAATTGTTTAAGAGATAATGATGACAAGTAAAAGTATTTGTGCCTAACCTCTATCTACTGTATGGTTGCGGGTATTGTATGAACATTCCTATTGATTTGAGAATTCAAAAACAACTTTATTTTAATATTTTAGAAGTAGTTCGCTACATGCATAATACAGAACTGTCTAAATGCAGATGAAAGCGTAGAAATTGCAGAGCAGCAGAGTTTTTTTCTGTCACTTTTCTCTCTCTCTCTGTGGCCTCTCCTCACCCCGTGATGCCCCTCCACTGTGTATTATAGAGAGTACTAGTGAATTGCGTGATTGTGTCTTCAGTAAAGAGTGTGGCAGCTGCTGTTCTCTGCGTTGGCAAAGGCTTAAGTGTGTGCTTGGGTGTGTGTTTTTGTGTTAATGGTAATCCTGTAGATCCCGTTGACTTATGCTTTATCCTTTATGAGTATGCATGTCGGGGCTCCTGCTAAAGAAAAATGTGGCCCTTTACATTACATAATAGCACATCGACTCTGTCATAATCTGACATGTTTCGTAATCTGGCAGACTGCAGAAGGTTTGATTCAACAGTTGGTAGAAGTCTGTTTTTGTTGCAGTGTCGGATAAGTCCTGCTATGCTGGATGTGTTTATTTTGTTGGATCTATTTGTGTGGAATCTGGATGCAGTGTTATTTTAGAAACAAGTGATATTTCTCCCATACTTAAATCCTCAGGGTATTAATCAATCTTTTGTCTTCTGCTTTACAGTGGTAATGTCTTGACTCGGTGGTCTCTCCAGCCCAGTAAAGGACGAGCCTGTGCAGAGTTGCTGCTAATGGGAACTCCTGCTCCACCATGAGTGCTCGTGATGGCGTCGGGGGCATGGGCACCCTGGGCCGGCGGCCGCGCTTCGAGAACTCAGAGTTCACCGTGCGCATCTACCCTGGCTCCCTGGCCGAGGGCACCATCTACTGCCCGATCAGCGCCCGCAAGACCACCACAGCAGCTGAGGCCATCGAACGAGTCATTGAGCGCCTGCAGCTGGACCGCACCAGGTGTTATGTTCTGGCTGAAGTGAAGGAATTTGGCGGGGAAGAATGGATTCTCAACCCCAGCGACTGCCCCGTGCAGCGGATGATGCTCTGGCCCCGAGTGGCACTAGAGCACCGGCCACTGTCTGGCGGAGAAGATTACCGCTTTCTTCTCAGGCAGAAGAACCTGGATGGCTCGATTCACTATGGGGGCAGCCTCCAGATGTGGCTGCAGGTCACAGAGGAGCGCCGGCGCATGGTGGAACGTGGCCTGCTGCCACAGCCCGAGGCTCAGGGGGACCACGCAGATCTTTGCTGCCTGCCGGAGCTCAACGAGCGCTCGCTGCTGGACAACCTGCGCTCGCGCTTCCGCCAGGAAAAGATCTACACGCATGTCGGAAGCATTCTTATCGTCATTAACCCCTTCAAGTTCCTGCCCATCTACAACCCCAAGTATGTAAAGATGTATGACAACCACACGCTGGGAGATTTGGAGCCACATATTTACGCGGTGGCGGACGTGGCGTACCACGCCATGCTGCAGAAGGAGAGAAACCAGTGCATTGTTATATCTGGGGAGAGTGGATCTGGGAAGACGCAAAGCACAAACTTTCTCATCCATCATCTGACCGCTCTCAGCCAGAAGGGTTTTGCCAGTGGAGTGGAGCAGATCATCCTGGGGGCCGGGCCAGTACTAGAGGTAAGTGAAACATGAGCAATCTGGGATTCAATACAAACCTATATGTTGTTTGCTAATATGCTCTGCTGTCAACAAAGCTGGGAGACTTGGCCTCGAGTCCAACCCAAGTTAAACAAATAATGACTTGAGACCTGAGTTATGTGAGACTTCTTGACTGATTGACTCCATAAAAATTAGACCTTACTTAAAAGGAAAAACATTTGTGTCAAGTCTTAGTTTTTCCTCAACTTAACCAAGTGTTAAAGGGACAGAGTATCAACTCCTGTGCGGATTGTAAAGCCCTTTGAGAGAATTTTTTTTAATTTGTGATCTTGGTATAAATTAAATTGACTTGACTTGGGACTGGATTTTGAGTGATCATGTCAGCAGATTAGTTGCCACACCTTATTAAGAAGCTTTCATTACCTAACCCTTGTGTGGTGTTCATATAATGATAATCCTTATTTATTATAGCGCTTTATCAATGACTCTCAAAGCGCTTTACAAATACACATTACACATACAGATCATACATACAGTGGGGCAAAAAAGTATTTAGTCAGCCACCAATTGTGCAAGTTCTCCCACTTAAAAAGATGAGAGAGGCCTGTATTTTTCATCCTAGGTATACCTCAACTATGAGAGACAAAATGAAGAAAAAAGCAAATTCCAGAATCACATTCTTGCTGATTTTTAAAAAGGATATAGTTGAGGTATACCTAGGATGAAAAATACAGGCCTCTCTCATCTTTTTAAGTGGGAGAACTTGCACAATTGGTGGCTGACTAAATACTTTTTTGCCCCACTGTATGTATGATCTGTATGTGTAATGTGTATTTGTAAAGCGCTTTGAGAGTCATTGATAAAGCGCTATAATAAATAAGGATTATCATTATATGAACACCACACAAGGGTTAGGTAATGAAAGCTTCTTAATAAGGTGTGGCAACTAATCTGCTGACATGATCACTCAAAATCCAGTCCCAAGTCAAGTCAATTTAATTTATACCAAGATCACAAATTAAAAAAAATTCTCTCAAAGGGCTTTACAATCCGCACAGGAGTTGATACTCTGTCCCTTTAACACTTGGTTAAGTTGAGGAAAAACTAAGACTTGACACAAATGTTTTTCCTTTTAAGTAAGGTCTAATTTTTATGGAGTCAATCAGTCAAGAAGTCTCACATAACTCAGGTCTCAAGTCATTATTTGTTTAACTTGGGTTGGACTCGAGGCCAAGTCTCCCAGCTTTGTTGACAGCAGAGCATATTAGCAAACAACATATAGGTTTGTATTGAATCCCAGATTGCTCATGTTTCACTTACCTCTAGTACTGGCCCGGCCCCCAGGATGATCTGCTCCACTCCACTGGCAAAACCCTTCTGGCTGAGAGCGGTCAGATGATGGATGAGAAAGTTTGTGCTTTGCGTCTTCCCAGATCCACTCTCCCCAGATATAACAATGCACTGGTTTCTCTCCTTCTGCAGCATGGCGTGGTACGCCACGTCCGCCACCGCGTAAATATGTGGCTCCAAATCTCCCAGCGTGTGGTTGTCATACATCTTTACATACTTGGGGTTGTAGATGGGCAGGAACTTGAAGGGGTTAATGACGATAAGAATGCTTCCGACATGCGTGTAGATCTTTTCCTGGCGGAAGCGCGAGCGCAGGTTGTCCAGCAGCGAGCGCTCGTTGAGAGCTCAACGAGCGCTCGCTGCTGGACAACCTGCGCTCGCGCTTCCGCCAGGAAAAGATCTACACGCATGTCGGAAGCATTCTTATCGTCATTAACCCCTTCAANCTTATGACCAAATACTTATTTTCCACCATAATTTGCAAATAAATTCTTTAAAAATCAGACGATGTGATTTTCTGGATTTCTTTTTCTCATTTTGTCTCTCATAGTTGAGGTATACCTAGGATGAAAAATACAGGCCTCTCATCTTTTTAAGTGGGAGAACTTGCACAATTGGTGGCTGACTAAATACTTTTTGCCCACTGTATATATACTTTTAAAATGATGCCTCTTATAAGGATCATTTATTGCAATTATTGATGCAAGCATGTTGACAGACTACTTCATCTTAAAGTATTGGCACCTGTAAGGGAAACTTCTGGTTCACAGAGAGTAATCAACATATATAGAAGATAGCCTAAACAGCTGGGAACACTGAGTGACTTGCGTCTGACACTTATGGCCTCGAAGATTTCACACCTTGGAGTCCACAAACACCGAGAAGGAAGTGTCCCAGTGTAACCACAACAATAAACCATCTGTG